AAGCTGGGGGGGGGGGGGGAGGGTAGTTTCGTGGCCTCGGAAAACGCGTTAGCCAAGGGGAGAAGGGGGTGGCAAACGAGTCCTAGGGCCTGGCCGCCCCCTCTCTCCGAGGGTGGGCCTGGGCGATCCGCTCCCACCCGCTGAGGCGTGCCCCAGGGTCCCTGCGACCCCGCAAAGAAGAGAGAAACAGAGGAGAGAAGTGGAAGAGAAGGGCGAGACGAACCCTAGAGGAGCCCGAGAGCCGGAGCGAGAGGGCCTGTAACCCAGAGCGAGAGGGAAAACGAGGGGGCGGGGGCGAGGGCGACCCGGCGCCGCCGGCCGCGGAAGATTTATGGCGCCGCCCGGGTTCCAAGGACGGGCTGCTCTCGTCGCTGCTGCCCGCGTCGGTAGCCGCCACAGCCGCTGCGCCCCCTGCCCTGGCGGCCCGCCGCGCCCCAGGCCATGCCTGCCATTATTAACTTCTGTTTGATTAGGGTAATTGTTCAAACTTGGGCCGGACAGTATGATTAATTATAGTTTAATTAACGTGTCCATTAAGGACACTTAATGCCACGGAGGGGTGGGGGGCGAGGGGGCGTACGGGTGCGGGCACAGAGGGAGGGAGTGCGACTGATAACTCAAATAAGGAAAGACGGAGATTGAGAGAGAGGGAGAAGATGAGACCCACTGGGATAGTGGGGGAAAGGATGGTGAAGACAGAAGCCGACAGAGAAAAGAGAGGGGTGGAGAGAAATGGAGCTCTGGGAAGAGAGAAGATGCCGGGGAGCATCTGCAGCATCAGGGGCTAGAACCCCACCACGGGGAAACTGATTTCACGGGAGAGCTAGGGAGTAGTCTCGTGGTCAACTAGTAGTTGACCCCAGGTATCTCCCAGTGATGACTTGGCTCCAGCCCTGGGCTGGTTGGTGTTGGTGGGGGTGGGGGAGAGTCAAGGCCTAGGACCTCCAAACCCAGTTCCCGAGTCCACAGCTCAGTGAAGGAGGCAGGAGGTCGCCCCTCCCCAGGCTGGAGCTGTCCTGACACCTCGCATCCAAGTCTGAAGCCGTGGGGGAGTTGGTTCTGCCCCCTTCCAGCTGCCATTCCCCTGGTACCCCACACCCTGATCTCTTCTCCGGCTCCCCACACTACTGGCTTCCCAAGGCCACTGCCTTGGCACGAAAGTGCAGTACCCATCCCCTCTCCCTTTCCTTCTGAATCTTCCGTAGCCCCATTACCTGGCCTTGGTCTCGGTCCTGGCCCCTTAGCCGGGAGCGCTGAGGCCTTCCCATTTTGTTCTTGGGGGCAAACTTTGTGGCCCTGGGCCCTACCTCCCTCCTGGTTCCCTTAATGAGCTTGGGCCGCAGGTGCCGGGCGCAGGGAGCAGGTGTGTGGCCACTTACCTGGGGCGCCCAGACCCGGGGGCTGTGGGGAGGCGGAGGGCGCGGCGCGTGGCCCGCGGACTAGCGGACCCCGGGAGGGCACAAGTGACTGCGCGGGCGGTGGGTGTGGCGCCCCGGCTCGCAGATGTCAGGCGCGCCCGCCCAGCGCTGGCCTCGCCACTCGGGCTGTCACCGCGCCTTGCCAGCCGCCGCGCCATGCGCTCCAGGCTTCGGCCTCCACTCCGGGCTCGTCCGGGGCATCAGGGGCAAAGGCACAGGGCACAAGTCTCCCCGCCCGGGACCCTGGAGCCCCGCGCCTGTTGAGAGACGGCGCCGCGCGGGAGGGGCCAGCGGGACCGCGAGTGTGAGCGCGGGGAGCCCGGGAGCGCGGCTGTGCGCGCGCGCGGGGAGGGGCCGCGCCGTCACCCGGAGAGCCCGGCGGATCCCGGACTCCCGCCCGCCGCTCCGCCCGCCGCGCACCTCCGTTCACCGCTCGCCCGGCTCCAGCCGCCGCCGCACGGTGAGTACCCGCGCCCGGTCGCCGGCTGCCCCCGCGCCCTGTCTCTACAGCTTTTTTCGTTTAGTTCTTCCGATTTGGGTTCTTGTGGTGGTTGTTTTTATTATTATACCTAAAGACTCCATCGCCTCACTCTCTGCGCTGCCTGCCTCCCGCCTCGTCGCCCTCTCCAAGCTCACCCCTCAAGCCCCACGAGCCGGCGAGGGCTCCCTGAGCCGCCCTGGCCGCTGCTCCTTGTCGCTGCGCACAACCCTTTGCCCGGGCTTTCCACTCTGGCTTTCGAAATTCGGTTCCTTTCCTAGGGTCCCCCTTCTCCTGGATCCGGGGTCCGGAGCCCCCTCCCCCATTAGGGAAAACCCCGGGGGGACTCCAGACCGTCAGCCTGGGGAGGACGCGCTCGGATCAGGGCGCTCCCTTCACTGCATGCGGGCAAGGCACACGCCGATTTCGGGAAACCGAGAAGACATTATCATTTCCCAGAACCGTGGCTCCCTCGCCACCTCCCTAGCCTGAGAACCCTTAAAAGGGGGGTGCGGGGCTTTTCTTGCAGACCCCTCAGCCGAGGAGTTAGGACAGTGCTTTTGCCTCCTAAAATGTTGCAAGGGACTTCAACGCAAAAGGAGGGTCTACTAGTTTCAATTCGATCCACGGAGATAAAGATGAAAGACAGATAACAGATAAATAGCTTGATACTTGAAGAAGGTATGAAGACAGATGGGAGAAAGAGGAGCTAGCGAGGAGAGACAGACAGCTCAGAAGAGATAAGACCGACAGATGCGGGGTACCTAGACAAACAGAGAGGGAGGGAGGGAGACAGACTGACAGAAGATCCCAGTCTCCTTGATGAAGCTTTTGAGCTCGGATGCCCTGTCCTGCTAGAGCTGCCCCCTTTGAAAATGGATTTGCCTTTTCTGCCGAGTTTAGGGGAGGGGCCCTCGGGGTTGGGCTGCCTGGGCCGCAGGAGCCCCTGCAGCCATGGGCCGGGTGGGAGCCTTCGGTGTCTGAGGACACATGGCTGGGCTCAGCCACCTAGGGGGCCCCAAGCATCAATCCCCGGGTCCTTCCCGCTGCTGATGTCCGCAGACGCGGCTGCCTCCCTGCCTCGGCCAGAGAGCAAAGCTCAGGACCAGCAGTAACTTTTGACCTGGAGCCTTGTGGTGGCTTCAGAGACTGGCCAGGATCCTTCTCAGCCCATATGAGTCAGGACAGCCCGGCACGAAGGATACTCAAAAAAAAAGAAAAAGGCGCCCCAAAAGAGGAAGCTCAGAACCTGGAGAGACTGCATTTGGCCTGAGTGGGAAAGGCATATCTGAAGGAGGAAAACTTAGGGAGTGGATGCCTAGAAGCAAAAGAGAAGTGGCTTCTGAGGAACTTCCTTGAGAACCTCTCCGTCCCACATGCTGACCCAGAGGGAAACCAGCTTTGGTCTGGAACGCAGCTAAAAATGCAGAAAATGTGGTTAGGAATTGCTTGACCCTGATCCCACCGATGGTTGGAAAGAAAACGGTTTATATTTCCAGCCGGAATCTTTCTGCTCAACGAACGCGAGGCTCCGGGCGTGAGAGGAAAAGCTCGTGTTTGTGGAAAGCAGTGCTGTTATCCCGGGGAGCCGGCTTGGCGCGGAGCTGGGTGCAGTGGGGGCAACCCTGGGGCTGGGCACTCACGGCGTGCTTTGGAAAGAGTCGGGTTCAGCACCACGAACAGCGGTCGCCTCTGTCTCTCCCCGCCTCCCTCACGGCCTCTAGGCCCTCCTCCTTCTCCTTGCCACCTCCCAACCGCCCCCCCCCGCCCCGCCTCGCCCCCTGCTGTCTGGAGATGGGCAATGACCGCCCCTCCCCCCTCCCTATTCCTCCCTGCGCTGCCCCCGCCCGCGTGCATGCGCGACTGAGCAGAGGGGCTGCCTGTCCCCGACGTCAGGGCTTCAGGACCCGGACGGGTAGGGCAGCCTGCGAGGGTGGCCGAAGACGCACGGATCCGGGCGCCAGGAAGCCTGGGTTCGGCAATGGCTTTGCTGTGTGGCCTTGGGCAAGTCACTCTCCGTCTCTGGGCCCCACTTCCTCCCCTGTCCGAAAAGAAGATCAGGTTCCTAGCTACCGGGGCA